TTTCTTTAAAAAGATAGAACATTTACCTTTATTCCCACATCCAGAGCAGTACGGGGTCTCTCAAACTTCCCATTCAGTTGGCACCCCAGGGTTACAGCAGGCGCTAGAGCGGCTAAAGCATAAAGCCTCCACACCTCTATAAAGAGAGGCCACTAGACTTCACGACCCTGATACATGCCTAGCCGCCACTGGCGCTACATGTAGGCCTCCTGATGAGGCCAGTGAATATACAAAACATGATATTAAACATCGGGACAAATATTCAAAATATTTTACAAATTACGCAAGAACTAAAATGAAGTTGTGAAGGGGAAGGCGGAGGCTTAGGATGGTATAAAAGACAAGCATGAAGAGCTAGACAGAATCTTGGACTTCATAAAAACAGGCCTTAACGACGTAACTCTGTGAAGTTTATGATAATTGCTTTCATCACGACTTCTGGCCTTACGTAATGAAATACCAGTACGTGGGGTTTCACAACGTCTGCTCTTAGAACAATGAAATATGAAACGAATAAAAAAGTACAGGCAAAGTTCTCCCTACGCTCACTCAATTAATCACTAAGGTATGAAGATGTATGGGGGAGTGGAGGTATAATTATTCCATTTTTGACCTTTGCAATAGGCGAAGGTGAGTGGTCAGATTTATGACCCTGCTGCTTTACCCCCAAGAAAAGAGGTCAAGTTAACCAGTAGATATGAGGCTGGGTGGACCCCAGAACAGGTCCGGACGTTGTGGAGAAAGGAAAAATCACTTTCTCTTTGCCGGGAATCGAACCCCGGTCGTCTAGCTCGCAGCCAGTCGCTATACCGACTGATCTATTCCTGTTCTGTATGAAGTGACTAAAGATAGGAGAAATCAGATTATTCATAAGCAGAGTTGTTAATCATTTACAAATTTGAATGTTCGGATTCAGCTAGGAGGACCGATATACAGTGGATACCATTTTGTGTTGTGACGCCGTCTGCGCAGCTCATATATTGACAACATGCGAGCAGAGTCAGTAGCATTCATGTAAACGCCAATGAAAATGTGGGCTGAGAGGAGAATAAGTTTTCAGTGGTGACTTACACGAAATTTAGGCCACGCCATAGCTCAAGCGGTTAGTCGCTAGCTTCCCACCGCGGCGGCCCGGGTTCGATCCCGGGTCTGGTCAAAGTGGGATTTGTGGTGGATGGACAAAGTGGCGCTGGGGCAGGTTTTCTCCGAGTACTTTGGTTTCCCCTGCCAATCTTCATTCCACCAATTGCTCCACAATCACCCTCACCTATCATCTGGGTCTGGCACAACAGGCCAGAAGTGGCTGCAGTGCAAGGGACATAGTCCCACCCCACTGGCAATAAAAAAAATACACGAAATTTATGTATTGTCGTGGTAAATATTATGTCTATATAGCATGCTTATAGTCAAATCAATATAAAAACAGCTAAATTTTTTAAATGCAAGTATTAGAGACTTAAGTACTGTCGTTTATGTCAGAAAGAGCTTTTAATCAATTAACTTACCATATATAAACCATAAAACCTGAGATTCGTTTAAACTTTAAAATAAGTTAGTCCAATCGAACCTGAGAGGTTAAAAGTATCGTATATCGTTTTCTGTTCTTATTCCAATGTGAGTTATGGAACTTAAATTGAAATCGATTACGAGATATCGCTTTCATAATTCAATTTGTATGCATGTCCTACATCTCTTATAATGTTAAATTAAAAATTAAATCCGCTTAGTGGGGGGCGGAGTCCAGCTAGGTGCACTTGGCACGTCGGCCACTGATTGGCTTATATTACCTTCGCCGTGTGATTATGATGATGGAGAATTTGGTGTAATGAACTCTTATAATATTACTTGAAGCAAAATCATTTCGTCGAGCTCATGTGAATAGTCTAAAATCAGTACCATATTGTTTGCTACTTTGTTCAAAGTATTCCCAACAAAACACAGCTTAATTTACTGGAAATATATGAGAATTTGCATAGTGTGCACTTGTTTATTTTATTTAATTTGTTTGCCGGTCTAGAAAACCGAAAATAAAGGCCGTGGGGATTCGTTGCGCTGACAACGCGACACCCTCTATCCGCTAAAGTTTGCACTAACTTCGCCGACAAGCGACGGTCGCTAGGTCGATATAGTTCGCTTGCGGACTCAAACCACGGAGCTTGTTTTTTTATATACTTTGTTTTGTATTATTCCCTTTATATATAGTCTTTCCTTGTCTGTATCAGTGTAAGATCTACTGCCACCGGTTTAACACCCAATTGCAGTAAAATGATAATAATAATAATAATTCAATTCGTGTTTATTTACCTCCAAACTTAACAGCACAGAGGCCAATTAGTATGCTAGCACGAACAGAGAAATACCCAAAAATAATTAAAAAAATAAAATACAAAAATGATAGTCTATATTAATTACAAAGCATGAATAGAGATACCGAAGCAAACATACACAGACAAAGCCACAAAGTGAGAATTTGAGTTTCAAATAGAGCAGCATACAACAATAATAATGATAATAATAATAATAATAATAATAATAATAATAATAATAACGAAATTAATAAAGTTTCGTAACACTTAATAGACAAAGCATCTCGTCTTCAATTTATTACATTTCGAATTTCTTACATTATCTTTACATTCTCACAGCCTAAACGATTCTATTTTCGATATTGATGTCTCCTTGAATAACTCAAAGAAGAAGTTCAGAAGAAGTCAGCTCTAAATGGGGTCAGTATACATTCTAATCCATAATTTCAGATAAATTTATACAGGATACAAGCCGGAAGGTCACAGGTTCAAGTCCCGATAAGTTCATTGCATTTTTTCAATTTATCTAATCCTTCCAGCCGCACTATGGCCCTGGGGTCGACTCAGTTTCTAACAGAAGTGAGTACCAGGAATATTCTTGGGGGTAAAGGGCGGCCGGTGCCTAAGGCTGACAACCTTACCGCCATCTGTGAGCCGATTTTCTAGAAAATGTGGGAACCTCAACATCTCACAGCCCTATGGGCCTCCACGATCTGTTAGTTACTTTACTTTAGTTTTTACACTCAAATAATTACGTTCTCATTTGAGACACGAGTGCTTTAATTTCTTAAGATTTATTTTAGTGAACAGGTTTAGGAATCATGTGTCACTATTTTCTCAGTAACAAACTTTTGAATTAAAGGGCCAATTATTATGAAATTCGATATGAAAATTTGTCATTAAAGGTGAGCTCGATGAGTTAAGTTTTTAATTCTCACGCTCAATAATATCAGAGAGAGCAGACTTGCGACTTTCTCAGACAGCAGAGAGACGGTCAGCACTCCCTTAACACAGCTCTTTTCCAACCCGCCTTTGCTTGTATCGGCGCAGTCGGAATGGTGCTATCCCTGCTACACCTGTTTCTACCTTAGGACAGTGTATGATGGCCACTGCAAGTTGTTCTTACAGATCAAACTAAGGAAGATCGGTATAGGTACGGGAAACTAGCTGGGTCGGTTTGCATGAGCCTCAGGGTAGCGATGCCGAAGAAAGCGTTTTTCTGGGAGTTGAACCAATTGACGTTTATTCACCTGCTAATTCACCACACTGTTAAATTAATGTAATCTTAGCTTTAAGTTACAGCGTTACACTATCGGCTAGCTATGTCCCGGAGCGTGCAAGGGTCACGTCCGTTCAGTTCGGAATATTATGAAAGTCTCCCTTTGTGGAATGGCTTGCACCCCCACGCCGGGAATTCGAAAGATGGTGTTGACATATACATTTTCATCCCATCTTCCGTGGGAAGCTTGAAGGAGGCAACCCAATCATACTGGCCCTCATTCACAGGCAATTGTAACAAGCTCTGACCTGTCCTTTTAGGCGCGTCCGGTTCCCTGTACCCGAGCTAAATTTATGACTGATCGTAAATGTCATAACTCCGGACTTCTTGTTTCTGCCAGAATCTAGAAAATTTCAACATAAACACCGTATTGCACGTCCCAGACAATGAAATACGATATTATAGATCACGATGCATTTCCAGTAATATCGAAACATAAGACTTTTGAAATTTAAATTGCCGAGAATTAATTAGAAATAAATTTCATGGTCCTCTATAATCATCCAAATAAATAAGGGCTCAGAATGATCAGCGTCACTAGAAAAAGATAGAATACACACATAGTGGTTAAGGCACTGCTGCCTGTCAGCAATTAACCACAGTTTTTTCTCAGACAGCAGGACAATGGTGATGAGGCGCCCGTCATAAGCACTTTGCATGAGATGTTTCTTGCACACTAATTTCTTTATAGACAATTTTCAGGGCAACCACAATATCGCACCGTGTGGATTTAATTTCTCGTTTAATGTGATTAATTAGTCGTAGCAGGATCTGGAATATTAAGAAAACTATCAAATCTTTACAAATTTGCTTGTGAATTTTGCGACGTACTACTACAATTCGAGTAGTGGGCGAAAACAATGATATATCACTAAGTTTTATAGTTTTCCACTATAACTACAGTAATTTCTTTGAACTGAATGAAAAACTATGATTTCGAAAGGAGCTCATTCTGAAAAGGAATAACATACTTGTACTAAGAAATGGTGTCAGAAGTTATCTCTGCACAACTGCAACAAGTCCCCTGGAAAGCTGCCACGGTTTGGGGGATAAAGACAGCCGGGAGAGTCACCACCGGTTAGTGCCACAGTCTCCAGCCGTACCACCACACTACATGTAAGCTTAAGTTGTACCGCTTTAATATTATCCGCCTAATTTAGTCTTAGAATTTAAAATGGCCGTTATTATGAGAATACTTCATGAAAAGTTCACGTGCATATGTTGATAATACCAAGGAATTATATATATATGCATAGTATATATATAAATAACTTCTTTCACAACATATGTATTGCAAATGATCACTTCCTCTCATGTTTATATGAACTTTTACTTCATTATTTTTCGGTTGCACCTACATCTAAATTTTGTAGCCACTCGTCGACAAAACATGCTGAAGTGAACACCGTACATACCTGTTCCACCCAGACATTGGTTGTCATAATCTGGTTCTTCAGGTTCTGAAAGAAAAGAAAAAATTGATATAGCTACCTGGAATGGAGTAATAGTCTTTTAAAGGTGCATTACTCGTCCATAAAATTATACAGACTCTCATGTTCCGTCCAGAAGTTCGAATGAACTCTACCAAAACAGTAATTACATGCCTGGTGAATAAAATGATGATGCATTATATTGTATTTTTACAAGTCTGGTGACTTTTGACAGAAAATTAACAATTCTTGTTTGCTAATTATTGAAAGAATTGATGAATTCGTGACCAGTAAATATTGAAGAGTCGGTCACGGTAGCCGAGCGGTCTAAGGCATGCACTGTCTTCGCTCGCTCGGAAGCCGGGATCGTGGGTTCGAATCTCACTCAGGACATGGATATTTAGTTTGTGTCCTTTTTTCTGTTTGTGTACAGGGAGAGGCCTTGCGACGAGCTGATCACCCGCCCAAGGAGTCCTGCCGAATATGTAAGATCTAGAAAAACCGAAGTGAACAGAGAAGTTCATGGAGGTAGGCCTAGGTCCACTGAGGCTGTAGTGCCAAGGAAAATAATATATAACGAATTTGCTGAAGGAATATTTTCGTCTCTTTACACCACTAGGGATTAGTTTCAATAGCAGGTTACCTTTTGGAAGCAAGTAATCCATGGGTGAAATGAGAATACTTTTGCTGTTAAAACACGTAAATACGATGTAATTCAATGCAGTAAGCAAATCAAATTGGTACATACAGTATAAGGGGAACGTGTAGCTGTGTATGGAGACTGGTGAATAGTTTTCATAGAAGGGAAGGTCGGACTAGGAAGGCATAATTGACTTCGCCGTGGTTGAAGCACTCACCTCACCTCTCCTCTCCACTGGTTGACGAGAAGAGAAAATCCATACAGACTGAACAAAGAGACCAGTACAGAGTTCAGACCGAAATGGAGAGTTTCGATGCGACGCATTCGTGGTCTATAAATTCAGTAATGTACGGTTTTAACATATGAAGGTACATATTTGTAAATATCAGTATAGTCATCTTATCCAAGGCCGATCACAATGGTCACATGGTCTGAAGTTTGGCCTGCTCGAACGCTGGGATCGTGGGTTCGAATCCCACTTAAGATATAGCTGTCTGTGTGCGTTTATTCTATGTTTGTGTTGCTGATCTCCCATCGAATGTGTCCTACCGACTGTATATAATTAGATTAGACAGACAGTTGGATAGATAGATAGATAGATAGATAGATAGATAGATAGATAAATAGATAGATAGATAGATCCCATAGATGTGTTCCATATACTTCAGCGTCACGGCAATGATTAAATATTATGTTTTTAAATAAATATTAAAATCACATTAAATCTGTAACAGAACTCTGACAGAGAATAAATTCTCTTTAACGAAAAGTTTTTAGAGCATCCTTTAAGCAAAGGAACAAATAAACACAAAATTAACCAATGAACGTCTGGTATACTTTACCAATAGTCCCAGAATAACGAATTTTTATATAGTGACTAATAAGAGAAATTCAGTGCTGAGAAGTTATCATTGACTTACTTAATATCAAACAAATACGGTTTAGCAAATGCTGAACCCTCAGCTACATTACTTTTTTTATTGCTAATGGGGTGGGACTAAGTCCCTTGCACTGCGGCCTCTTCTGGCCTATTGTTCCAGCCCCAGATGACAGGTGAGGGTGATTGTGGAGCAATTGATGACATGAAGATTGGCAGGGGTAACCGAAGTACTAGGAGAAAACCTGCCCCAGCGCCACTTTGTCCACCACAAATCCCACTTGACAAGACCCGGGATCGAACCCGGGCCGCCGCGGTGAGAAGCCAGCGACTAACTGCTTGAGCTATGGTGCGGCCCAGCTACATTACTTAAGGCGTGTGATGGAGCCAGACAGTGTTACAAGCTGAAGGAGTGGATATAAAACAGTGTGTGCTGCAAGACATTCTCAGTACAGTCACACAGGAGCTGAGGCACAAGAAGATGCCTTGACACTATACACGATTCTGTTTCTTCCAAGCACGGAAACGCATTGTGCCGCATTCAGTCTTCTTTGCAATATATTGTGATATGCTGAGCTATGGATGACGCCCCTCCCCCACCCCCGCCAGCCGTGATGTGCCGATGCTAGCCGAGTCCTAGCATCCTGGTCGCTAGGCAACGCGAGTCAACAGCGGTGACGTCACCAAGTAGTAACAGCGGTTACTTCCGCTAGCGTTACTAGCAACACAGCGCCAGGCAACAAGGGTGCCTATTACGTGGCCGTTTTCCGTATTGTCCGATCAATGCTACATAAGGAGCAGCGAAGGCTATTCACAGTCAGTCAGTCAGTCGGTTAGTCCTGGAGCTACCTACGAGTCAGTCCTCGAGCTACCTCCGAGTTAGTTCCGAGTTAGCCAGCAACTAGTCAGTTGTATTGTGGCATTTGGAGTGCACTAATTGTGATACTGCAGATAGCAGTAATCGTAAATCTGTAATTTGGGTGATTGTAAGTGCGAATGTGAAATAAAATTCGCTATATAAAATCCGGCGTGAAGTTATTTGTCGCGTTATACGCCCAACACGCGACAATATATACTTGGAGACAAAGACGTTCCACTACAGCATGCTAGTATACGTACGTCTATGCACTGTAAATACAGTGTGTTCCGATCAAACCTCCCATATTTTAATTATTCAATAGGAACAATTTGTGATCAATTGTGGATTATAATTAACATTTGATGAAAGAAAACTCAAAGAATTTTATTTCCGTTTTTCTTCGGTGAAGCTACAGGATCTGGCTGCGTATACCTTGACATGTTAGAACTGTTCCTGTATCCCCAGGTCGCCGATCTGCAGCCTAACATAATCTTCCAACAAGATGGAGCGTCTGGGATCTGGATGTTCGGAGGTCCCTCAATGCCAACTCCCGAAAACGCTGGATTGGACGTGGCGGACCAATTCGGTGGCCACCACGTTCACCGGACCTCACTCCGCTCGATTTCTTCCTCTGGGGTTACGTGAAGGACCGTGTGTTGGTGCCTCCAGTGAATGACTTCCCAGATTTACAAGCCCGCATCCGTGAAAAGACTGCTACTCTACCAATGGACATGTTGGAAAGAACGTGGCAAGAAATTGAATACAGACTTGATATTGTTCGTGCTATCAGTGATGCGCATGCAGCGGTTTATTAGTGTGTCAAATAGATTTTTTTAGTTGTTCTTGTACTTCCCGTAGCTCCATTTTCCTACCATTCATACTTTCTGTTCTAAGACCTGGTAAAATGTGGGAGGTTTGAATGGAAAACCCTATATTTAATGAATGCGGTGGGATGAGATTCTTTTTCCCTCGGCCCTACAGCCCTCATGTGGGCCTAGGCCTACCTCCATGAACTTCTCCGTTCACTTCGGTTTTTCGAGATCTTGCACATTCGGTAGGACTCCTTGGGCGGATGATCAGCTCGTCGCAAGGCCTCTATCTGTACACAAACAGAGAAAAATGCACACACACAAACTAAACATCCATGCCCTGAGTAGGATTCGTACCCACGGTCCCGGTTTCCAAGCGAGCGAAGACAGTTCATGCCTTAGACAGCTCGGCTACCGTGACCCGCGATGGGATGAGATGGTCGGAATATATTTAGGAGGAGACATTGACGAATACGATTAAAGAGCGTAATTATGATAATTATGAATTCCGCGAAAATGGATCATAGAGAGAGAGGATGAGGTGGTATCGAATGGGATCATCTGCCTCAGAATAGGGATAATTGGAAGTCTCTTGTGAACACGGAAATGAAATTTCAGATTCAATAAAATTATGGAAATTTCTTGAGTAGCTGCACACTCCATGGATATGAGCCCTACTTGAGAAGCTGTCAGTTGTGCAGCTACTCAAGTTTGAAGTCCGCGACATAGATCGAACTGTAGCAATATTGAAGACTGACAATGACGACTGGTTCAACCATCGTCACGTGACAATCCTTGCTATCCTAGAAGTAACAGCCGCTCGCTCTCTTGTTTGAACAGCAGAGCAGCATGTCAAGAAATGTTTGGTGACGAGGCTAAGCAGCACTTCCTGCAATTATTGGTCTGAAAATTATAATACGGACACTTTTAAAAGCAAACTCAGGAATTAGCTCTGTCAGGGCATTCGGGTGGCCATTTCAGCAGTTATCAGTGAATTAGCAGGTTTAATAAAATTACACAGCTGTTTCCATACGCTCACACAATATTTTGTTATACTCGTGCTAACAAATCCCACTTACAACAACAATAACTTCGTGGCCTGTAGTCCACAAGCCAACTATACCGATCTAGCGACCGCCGCTTGTCGGCGAAGTTAGTGCCAACTTTAGCGGATAGAGGGTGTCGCGTGGTCAGCGCAACGAATCCCCAAGGATGTTAATTTCGGTTTTCTAGACCGGAATCGCTATTTCCTTGAAATAGTTCCTCAATTTTCCTCACGAGGCTGAGTGGACCCCGTTCCAGACCCACTACTTCTCAGAAAATCTGGTAGCTCCGAGAATCGAACCCGGGACCAATGGATCTGTAGCCAGAAACTCTGACTACTAGACCACAGAAATCCAACTTACAACTAACGAAATCGAAATTTCCACATTCAATTTAATTATGCTTATCCGAAAATATTATTTTAATCCCACAGCAGGAAGGACTTAGTTTAAAGTGTGGGAAATTTTTTCTTTTGTCATATTTTATTTGTTTTTTATGCAAATATTATGAATTTATATTCATGCAGTTCTAAATAATGACGTAATTTACTTGACACAATTTTATTTACCAATAAATTATTATTATATATATTATAAATGATGAAGATGCTGGATGACCTTGGGGACAGAAGAGGATACTGTCATTTGAAGGAGAAAGCTCTAGATCGCATTAAGTGGATGAATTGTTTTGGAAGAGACTGTGGACCTGCCGTCTTGACAGATTACTGATGATGATGATGATGATGATGATGATGATGATGATGATATTATAAATGTTAGGAATGTTAAGAAAAAATAAAAC